CCAGAGAGAAGGAAGCCCGATTCCAAGGTGTATCACCCTCTTGCAATCTGGGACCCCACGGGAGATGTTGGGGAGCTGGTTTCGGCCTCATCCCCACAGGCCAGGCTGAGGGACCCCACCAGTGCACGAATTCATGCACTGGGCCTCTAGTTTGATGATAAAAAGGTGAGTAGGTAATTTTTACATGAATTATGATAAAATAAAAAATTAAGAATGTCCAGTAGAAATGACACTTAGGAGGGAATCTCCAGTTACTCCTCTGATGTCAATGGCACACACCATTGGCCGTGTCACTCAAGAAAACTTGAGGTAGTCTTCCTAGCCCTACCAAAATACTTCTCATTTTTCCTAACTCCATGAAATAGCCCACTAAGATGCTGGGACAGAGAGGGGATTATAGGAACATGGTTTCTTCTCTGGAAGACCCAACAGCAAAGAAATAGCTTTCTTGCAGTCTCAGATGGTATGTTCTGATCCTGGATCCATGGTGACTAAGGGTTAGAAAGAACTTTAAGATGTTTCGGTCTCACTGCCTAACCCTAACTGTAACCATGAACCTAACCCTTTCACAGATGAAGAGACTGAAGTCAAGAGGGGTACTCTAGTCAGAGTCTTGCTAATGCCAGGGCCTGAATTTGCCTCCGGTTTCCTTGGAAATCACTGAATTGAACTTCTTCCTTCTTGTACCGCCAACCATTTTGTGTGTACACAAAAGGGGAAAAAATTGATGACAAAATCATCTTCAGAAATAGAGAGCAATGCATTTATGTCTGTTTATACACACAGTAGCAGCAGAAACTTTTAGTCCAAGATGTCTTTGTGGTTTACTTACTGCTGTTATAAAGTCCTTGGGAAATTTACTTTGATTATTTCTAAAGGAACTGAGAACCAGCCCACTGATTTTATCTTCTACAGCAGACAGTAGAGACATAAGCATCAAAACAATAGCAGCAACATAATTTACTCAGACAAATAAGTCCCCAAGCAAAACAACTTTCATTTTTATATAATACAGACTTCTTCTCTACTCATGCTATTGGTTTTTTCCCATTTGCTTATATTATCCCCTCTATTTTTAAAATGAAATAAGCATTGTTTTTATATACTTTAAAAAATTTAATTCTAGAACAAAACATCTATAAAGAAAAGTGAGCAAACATAAATGTCTTGTTGATGAGTAAGTTATAAAGCACACTACCTCATTCCTACAATCACTACAGGTCAAGAAATACAACATTGTCAGCACATAGAAGTCTTCCATGCCTGTATTTTCCTTCCTGGTTTCAACTATTCCAACTCTTCTCCCCTTTTAGACTGAACTTTGTGATATTCACTGAGGTTATATATTCTGTTTCTATCTATTCTTTTAGTCATTATCACAACATGCATACTTCACTTATCAAAGTTTCAAGTTACACACACCTTTTATTGTCTTTCTAGACAGTATGTTCTAGGTCAGTGGTCAGCAAACTCATTAGTCAACAGAGCCAAATATCAACAGTACAACGATTGAAATTTCTTTTGAGAGCCAAATTTTTTAAACTTAAACTATATAGGTAGGTACATTGTTATTAACTTATTAGGGTACTCCTAAGCTGGCCTTTGCTAGATACATCCTCAATCTGATTGAGGTACATTTGCTGAGGTCAACCCCTTCCAACTCTCCCATCCACACTTGTCATCTGAAACAAGTATACAAGACGAGTGTGGAGGGGAGAGTTGGAAGGGGTCGACCTCAGCGAATGTACCTCCCCTGCGCTGAGTATCCCGCGGCCTGCCTGTGCCGTGTCTCCTGTCGCCCGACTGACCGACACCCCCCACTTCTTCTAATGCCACTTCTTCAAAAGAGACTCGCCCAGGCTGAAAACCGACTTCTGCGCATGGGCCATGAAGTTTCAATTGCACTGTATGTGCACGCCTGCACGTGGTATTTTGTGGAAGAGCCACACTCAAGGAGCCAAAGAGTCGCATGTGGCTCGTGAGCTGCGGTTTGCCGACCACTGTTCTAGGCGGATGGGTAGTTTCACCACGTTGAAGATATAAGACATAATTTCACTGCTTTTATGGTTGTTGAAACATCACCTGTCAATCTAATAGATGCTTCTTTGAAGACAATCAATCTTTTTTTTTTCTTTCCCTCTTGCTGTTTTTAGGATTTTCATTATGCTATGTGTAGATGTAAGTATTTTGAAAAACACCTGCTAGTGATTTGTTGGGATTCTTGAATCTGTGGATTATGACTGCACTGTGAATAAATTTTCTAATCTATTTTTTCAGTTTATCAGCTCTCTCATTAGCTTTAATACTCTTAACCTTTCCATTGAGTTTTTAATCTGTGTGGTTTTTGCCAGTGTTAGTTGTTGATTTTTGTTTTATTCAAATTAGTTGATCTTTTCTTGAGTTTTCTGTGCTCTGCAGGTATTATTATAAGTTTGTCTTTTGTTTCCTTAAACATAGTAAGCTCAGTTGTTTTATTTTGTGGGTCTGATAATTCAAATATATAATTGTTTGTGGATTTGTTTTTGTAGTCTGTTGTTTCTGTTATCTTGTTTCCCTTTGTATCTGATTATTTTTTATGGTGTGTTTGTCATTGTATTTAAATATTATTTGTAGATATGATTTGACGCCTATAAATTTTTTCTTCCTGGAATAGTTTGCGTTTTTATTTTCAAAAGCCTCTGGGTAATAATAATAATCTAAAATCACCTTAAACAAAATGTAAGAATTGAGATAGACCATTGAAGATATTCAAAGGTGGGTTATAATCTGCATGAGGGCTGGTTTACTTGTACTCCAAGGATGTAACCTTTTGGGATCCCAGCTTATAGAGGAAAGGGTTTTCTACTAGATTCCTCACTTTTCACACTCTGGGAGTTGAAACATGAAAACAAAAGTTTGAATCTGGGAAAACAGCAAATGCTTTCAGAGTAAAGTAGCTCCTAAGCTCTGCTTATCTCTCTGAGTTCTAGTTCTTCAAATTTAACTAGTATCTTCTTCTCTTTTAATAATATTTCAGGACATTTTGTTCAGAATTTTAGTTGTTGGGGTGTGGGGTGAGTTTGAATAAACTGGACTGCCATAACTGAAAGCTAGAATACCTGTGTGTATATTCACAAGCAAACCCCAAGTTGAAAATCTATTCCCAAGTAATATGAGAGATATACATTGAAGTCTACAGATATTAAGAAAAATAAGTAACTGTGGCAAATCTTAAATAAAATTAAGGCAACTGTGATAAATCTTAAATAAAATTAATAAAAAATCTTACGTAAAATTTTGAATAAAATTTGTGCAAGTAGAGTTGTAGTAAATGAATCCTCCTGCATAATGCTAGTCATATTATAAATTGGAGCAGTTCTTTCAGCATTAGTAGATGCTTTAACAAATTATGATAGATTAACACTATGGCCTTTTATACCATCATTACAAAGGATAATTATGATGACTATGTCAAAATGGAATGTTTATAACATTAAATGACAATGGAGGAAAACAAAATAATATGCTTGCTATATAAAACAAATATGTATCTGGATGAAAAAAAAGAAAACATATTTCAGAATAAAGATAGAGATTTTAAAACAAGTAGAAAACTCATGATAATATTTTCCCCAAAAAATTTCAGCATAAAAATTTCTCACATTAAAAGAAAAGAAGAAAAAAAGAAAGGCAATGAGCAGTTTGAACTTACCCTATATAATAAAAGGATAATATGCAAATTGACTGAACGAGAGAATGACAGGTCACTATGATGCACACTGACAACCAGGGGGCAGATGCTCAATACAGAAGCTGCCACCTGGTGGTCAGTGCACTCCCACAGGGGGAGCGCTGCTCAGCCACAAACTGGGCCTAAGCTGTCAGTTGGACATCCCCCGAGGGCTCCCAGACTGTGAAAGAGTGCAGGTCAGGTTGAGTAATCTAATAACTGAGAATCTGTAGTCAGGCCAAAACCATTTCAGTCTCCTCCTTCTGTGATCCCTATGTAGCTCACAAAAACAACCTTGGCTTCCTAGAAGATTAAAATTACTTTTAAAAAATGAAACAGCAAGCAAAAATCTGGGGCCTTACTTTTTTTTTTTTTATCAGACTTTAATTTAGTTTTCAATGGATGAGGTTCCGAAAAGACACACGTTTCTGTCATTTGAAAATGATGCATCTGTTCTTTTACACTCTAGCAAGAGAGTATAATATCAATGTATGTTTAAATATAATCACTTATTTTTAGTTTAAGCTATTTGTACTTTTAAGAATTTTTTCTTAACTGCATCATTCCCAAAATCTCTTCCCCAAACTTTCGTTGTTTGACTAAGTGCAAATCCTCCCTCATTTTCAATATTAAAAATCATTTCCTCAAAGTGGCATTTTCTTATTTAAAAAAATATTTGTATTGCTTTCAGAGAAGAAGGGAGAGGGAGAGAGAGATAGAAACATCACTGATGAGAGAGTATCATTGATTGGCTGCCTCCTGCATGCTCCCTACTGGGGATCAAGCCCACTATCTGGGCATGTGCCCTGACTGGGAATCGAACAGTGACCTCCTGGTTTATTGGTCGATGCTCAATCACTGAACCATGCTAGCCAGGAAAAGTGGCATTTTCTGATTCGACAATAGAAATTAGAACCAATGTCACCACCTTTATTCAATTAGTACTCCATTCCTTACACAAATTATGGTGCATTATTACATATTTATTTATTTACCATCTTTTTCCAAAATGGAAACTGCCAAAGGGCAGGAACCATATCTGTTTCATTCATACTCTGTACATATATTATCTGATACACTGCATATTATATATTCATATATGACAAGCTTCCAGTTAGGCTTCTTCTAGGGCACAGTTTTAACTATTAAGTTCTTTTTTTGTTGTGAAGTTTTTTCATTTTTATGCAATAGATGTGACTTTATGAAGAGATTACTCTTGTATTCAAATATAATTATTAGGGCAACCTATTCCTAAAATGTTGCTTTTGCTTTTTTTCTTCTTTTTATCCAGAAGAAATCGATGATTTTGCCAAGTCTAAAATATTCACATTTCACAATGGAGGTGTACAAATGTTATGCAAATGCTCTGAGAACGTCCAGCAATTTAGAATGGAGTTGCTGAAAGGGAAGCAAATAATCTGTGATTTCAGAAAGACAAAGGGAAACGGAAACACTGTATTCAATCAGAGTCTGAAATTCTGTCAATTATCCAATAACAGTGTCTCTTATTTTCTGAATAACTTGGACAGTTCTCATGACAGCTATTACTCCTGCAGACTATCAATTTTTGATCCTCCTCCTTTTCAAGTGAAGGTGAAGAGCGAATATTTGCATATTTACGGTAAGACATTGTTTTCATCTTCTGGATGTAACTGTACATATGCATTTTGACTTTTCTTGCTAATGAAAACAAACAAATAAGTATATTTTGTGTTGGAGTTCATTTATGTGCAATTGATGACAATTACTTATGATGAAAATATGTAAGAGATGATTTATTAATAATAACAGATATTAATCAATAATATGCAATTTGATAATGTAGATTGCTGAATTAGAAATAGATCATGTTGTCTCTAAAACAAATATGCCATTGCCCGGCAGGCATGGCTCAGTGGTTTGACCTATGAACAAGGAAGTCGCAGTTCGATTCCCGGTCAGGGCAAATGCCTGGGTTGCAGACTCAATCCCCAGTGTGGGGCATGCAAGAGGCAGCCAATCAATGACTCTTTCTCATCATTGTTGTTTCTACCTCTCCCGCTTCCTTCCTCTCTGAAATCAATAAAAATATAAAAAACAATTAAGACACATACGCCATCAAAAATCATGAAAAATGAAGACAAATATCCAAACCCATCGCTTAATGACTATTCTATTCACATAAGGCTTAAGGTTGTGGTTTTTGCTGAATTTGCAGAACGCAGTGAAATGACTGAAAAGAACAGTTTTATGTCATTACTTTTTCTACTTATTTTTTTGCAAAAATATAGACAGAAAAGTCCTTTTTATTAGTCACATTTGTAAACATATTTGTGTGTACAGTCTTTTACGTTTTAGTTTTTGGATCCTTGCTATAATACTAAAATGATGTTGTTTACTATTTACTGGGTTTCATGGTTGCAATGAAGACAAGCTCATTTGATTAAATCATTCTTTTACATTTGTTAAAAAAACCACAAAACACCACCTTGGGATTCAGCAGTGAAAGAGGGGATTTGATTTTTAGAATTTGTTCTTAACATTTCTTTTTTCTAACCCAGAATCGCAGCTTTGTTGCCAGCTGAAGTTCTGGTTACCCATAGGATGTGCAGCTTTTGTTGTCGTCTACATTTTTGGATGCACATTTTTATGTTGGTTTAAAAATAAGGTGAGCAATGTCTATCTTTTCTTGCATCAATTTTACTGAGGAATATCAGTGGTCATTTACTCATCGAAGTACATATTACTCTTACAAGAGTAAATGGATCAACAGGTAGACTACTTTTCTCTCTCAAGATATACCTACTAACTAAACTACTAACTTGGAACAGAAGCTTATTTTATAACTGCTTCAGTTCAAAACTTATTCAATGGCTTACAAAGAGATATGTTGTTATTTATTCAACAAGGATGAGACAATTGAGGCCCATAAAAGACAAAAAGTCAGGAGGAAGGTAAAAAGATAAAAATAGATGCTTCTTGCTTTTAAAAATTATTTAACGTGGGCTGCACATTTTATTCTAAGCTACCTAAGAGTCGGGACAAAGGTGAAACTGTTCTGTTTCACTCCATTGGTTAATTAAGAAATAATCAAAAAAGGAGACATATGTAATACTCTTTGTAATACTTTAAGCGATAAAACAAAATTAAAGAAAAAGAAATAATCAGTGAGAAAATCTTATAAGGTACCAGTAGTAGCTGAGAAATAAATGGCCAGCTTGTTTCCATGGTAAATAGGCTCCTTATTTTAAAAGAAAAACCACTGCAAAGCCATGAAGAATGATAAAACAACAACAATAATGACAACAACAAGAATCTGTGCTGAAAATATCCTTTGTAGCCTTTTGCAATACACGTTCTCAAAGAACTTATACCTCCCTGCATGATGCAAGTCTGCTAATACCCAAGTGTATCCACAGTGTGATCATTGACCAGATGCTGAGTATATTTGTGCCAAATGGAATATGAAAAAAGAGATAAAGAAGGAAGAGAATGAGATAGAGCCCATGATCTAATTCTACGGAGGAAAGAACAATAAAGGCCAAAATGAGGAAGTCAGCTTTTCTTATTTAAAGCCCTTTTCATGTTGTTCTCCTACTTAGCCAAAAGCCAGGACCCTAAGTCCCATTATAACATTTCTCACATACCTCTCTGACAAAGAATAGAAAACAGTAAACAAATAAACCAAAACAAACAAACTAACAAATAACAGGGATGGAGATGGGGGAGAGCACATGACCAACCTGTTTTCTGACTTTCTCTTTCAGAAGCACCGATCCAGTGTGCATGATGCGAACAGTGAGTACATGTTCATGGCAGCGGTGAACACGGCTAAGAAGCCAGGGCGCACAGGTACAGCAACATTCAGGGCTTAGGGCAGGGAAGAGCTGCCTTCATAGTAAGCCTGGAATTTTCATTTATGATTTTTAAAAAATATATTTTTATTGATTTCAGAGAGGAAGCGAGAGGGAGGAGGAGACAGAAACATCAATGATGAGAGAGAATCATTGATCCACTGCCTCCTGCACACCCCCTGTTGGGCTTGTGCCCTGACTGGGAATTGACCCCTGACCTCCTGGTTCATAGGTCGATGCACAGCCACTGAGCCACACCGGGCTTAATTTATGATTTTAGAGGCAGGAATAATGCCTCTAAGCCTGACTTTTCGTATTTCCTGTGAAAAACTGAATTTTTATTTTACCTGATTTTATGTTTTTCTCCAGTGAATTGAAAACAAACAAGGTTATAAACTACTATTAAAATTAAACAAGTTCATAAATCACTATTGTACCAAAGAAATTTTCCAATTGATATTTTAAAAATTGAGATGATTCAAAGTCTCCCTTGTTAAAAAAAAGTTCATTATGTCATACAATGAGATTTACTGAATATCAATTAAGTGCAAAAATCACTGTGGGAGATATATAGATACATGGAGATTTTAGACTGAGATTTGGAAGCCAGATCTGGGTTGGTGTTAGCATGGGGAGGAAGGAGGAATTGGTGAAGATATTGTTAAAATGTGCAAGTTTAAAGAACTTGTGTATACCACAGAAGGCCAGTTAGGTGGGAATTTGACCTTTTCCATTCAGATTAAGCATTGTTAACTTGAGTGTCATTAAGTTGAGGAGCATTCAGAAAAGTTGAAGCATCTATTGTAGAAAAGGTGTAAATTTTATGCTTTAGAGGTTGCAATGATATGAGGTATATGATGAGATGGAAGCCATTGCATTTTTGCCACAACTCAGTGGTGCAGAACTTATATTAAAGAAACACACAAAACATCTGCCATAGAATTAAAGTATAGGGAGGGGAGCTAAATGCTCTTTTAGTCCGTCTCACTTTTCAGATGCAAGAAATTATTGATGCTCAGGGTGTTCAGTGACATCTTTGTTCCCCAGAGATTGATACCATAGCTTTGACACTAGCAAAGAGCTTGTGTTTCATATAACTTTGCTATTTTAAAAAAAATCATTTCTCTTAATCTCTGTGCTCTTAATAATGTGTCTGCTTTAGTATGGAATCCTTAAAACAGACCCTGAGACAGAGACTTGTGGCAAGTAATTTAGGTGGAAAGTGACTCCAAGAAGAAGGGGTGAGGGAACAGGGAGAGTGAGACAGGTAAGGAGGAAACGCAAATGGAGGTTGCATTACTGAGATCTCAGCTAGAGGCCACAGGATCTCTGAGGAGTGTACAGATGTCTTCCATAAGTGGGGCTTTATCCACTGGCTCCCACCCCTACTGCTTTCGGGTTGCTTACAGAGCACCTTAATCTCCCACGTCCCTAAACTTGCCCTGTGTTTGGGATGAGGGGCTCAGAAGTCTTCAGAGAAAGCCCTGAGGCAGAAAAGCAGAGAAATGCACCATGGACTATTGTGCTAGAACCATCAGTATGCACAAAGGTGTCCACCCCTTGAGGCTGAAATCAGAGGTGGGTGGTTTCATTTTCCACCTACCAAGCCTAGTATATCTCTTCTAATTGGGTTTAAAGAAATAACTATGCAAATGGCCAGAGAGTAAGTTTCTTGAGGGGAAGCAGGACCTTCCTTCTCTATATCCCGAAAGGATTACACATATCCAATTCCAAGCAGAGCCTGACACAGCACCTCTGGCAAATATTTATTGAAAGATTATTATGTGATGATCTCACTCATTTATGGATAATTAAGACCATTATAAACTGATGAACAAAAATAGATACAGAGGCAGAGCAACATCGAACAGACTGTCAAACTACAGCGGGAAGTCCGGGGAGGGTTCAGGGGGTGGGTAAGAGATCAACCGAAGGACTTGTATGCATGCATATAAGCATAACCAATGGACACAAGACACTGGGGGGTAGGGGAGGCCAGGGGAAGGTCAAGGGGAGAAAAAAAAAAGGAGACATATGTAATACTCTTTGTAATACTTTAAGCAATAAAAAAAAATAGAAAAAGAAAGATTATTATGTGAATAGCACTGTGCTGAGTAGTGTGCTGGGCAGAGGGCAGGAAGACCCCAGTCCTTGTGTTCAGTTTGTAATGTCATTGGGAGAGGTGATATGTTTACATGGATGGTGGAGTTACGTGTTAATGTCAAAAGTACGTAATTGCGAAGTGTACATTTCAGATAATATCTGTTATATAGGAGTTGAGAGTGGGCTGAGCAAAACTGTATGGAAAATGTGGACCTGGTGCTGGGTCTTGACTGATAAAGAAAAGTTTGGATGAGGTGTGTCTGTGTGCGTGTGCACGTGTTTATAAGAGGCAGAAAAAGGGGGGAAACTTGAGGAAGGAAATGGGCGCATGGAGAGCTTTAAAAGAATTTATGCTGCATTGTTGTTACAGATGTTGCTCATAACTTGGGACTCTCTAGCACCCAGGCATGAACCACATTGGCCATCTCCCCACTACTTGAAGTGCAAGATTTCCTCATTTCCTGAACCCTGGAGAGTCTGGCTTGATTTGACTACATACATCTTCTACTGATGTTTTGTTCAACCTGGACCAGTAACTATATCAGTCAACAGGAATATTAACAGACTGCCTCAGAGCTGCTGAGTTCTATGGGAACAAACACCCTCTTGCAACTTTATGGAAAGCCGGGGTCACGTGTACCAACGAACAGACCTGGCAGGGATGGAATCACTTTCACATCTGCTGCTAGCCAGTAAAACAAACACATCTACAAACATTGTTAAAATATGGCAAGGGCACTGAATCCACAAAGCAAACGGGCCTCTGAGGGCCAGCATCAGTCCGCAGTTCACTAACAGACTACCTCTTCTTCTTGTAGGATGAGCTTCCCGTTTTAAATCAGACAGTAGAGGAGTTGCTTCAAAACTGTAGCTATTTTATTTCTGAGGTGTCAACCTGTGACTATAATGTACTGATGCATTAGTGCACAGTACTCTTCTCCAACTTCTGAACTCCCGTCCGCCACTCCACCAAGAGTTTAGATACCTTCTGCTCTCAATTTTTCTTTTAAAAATATTTCTACATGACTATTTGATAGATGCTCTGAGGAGGGAGCTATGTCTATATGTTTTCCTCTACTGCTACATAAAATACATACCATATAAAAAATTATATAATATATATAAATATATGAGTATAATATACACACACACACTCTGATGAATATGGTTTACTTATATTCTTCCTACAAGAATAGACATCTTTTTTCCCCTAGATTCAGTTAACATGGTGTATTTTCTTGACTTGGTATTAGTGGTAGGAAACATTGGCCAGAATGGAAAGTGACTTCATTTTATGATCCTGTTTTCTACCATTACCTATGTTTTCAAGGTGCTATTAAATTACAAGCTGGGCTATTTTTGTAATCAAGGTCCTGGGGTAGAGACAATGATCTACTCAGTATCAAAGCTGCGGTCTCCGGAGGTCACTGCCAAACTCCGGCCCTGCTGCCTCTGCTCTCCACTGGCTGAAATGAGCCCCATCAGCCTGGAGCAGCCATCAGACCTGGATGGAATTCCACGGGTTGAGAGACTCCCCTGAGCGAGGGCCAACCAGGCGCTGTTGGCCTCAGAGGCTGACGTCATCCTGGGACCACCGTGGGCGAGCCTGCATTTGTCCCTCCAGGATTTGTGAAGAAGCATCAGCATGATGGCCTCGCCTAGAAACCATGCCACTTGGAAGCTGGCCTGGCCCTTCAAGACAGATTTGGTTGGAAGATGCTTAGATATGTGTAACCTGGTTATTCTTAGCCTGGATATCTTCTCTTCTTCCTGTGTGCATGCCAAAGATTTCTGAACCAGCCAATGTGTATTCAACGATAGTTTTAACTGTAGGTGAAAATGGGGTTATGGTCGTTTTAAAATGTGTAGTTGCCTGCTTATAGTTTATTTTTTTTTAAAAAAAGTGATATCTGATATGTCATTAAGCATGCTTATATTATTTTAAGCATGTGTAATGCTGGATGTGTACAGTACAATACTGAATTTGTAATTTGAATGAAGTAAGATGTTCTTTGTTTTCAGCGGACTTGAACAACCTGGCTGGCTTTGCAGAGGTGTTTCCTAAGGCAGCTTTCTGTGTGGGGGATCAGGGTGGGGAGGCCCTTCATGTGGCGTGGTTGCCCAAGCAGTGCCCTGAAGCATCCGCATCCTCAGCATGGCACATTTCAAAGTGAATTGCTGAAGGATACAATTTCTGTGAAATAAAAACTGGTTTGAAGAGGAGCTGCTTATGAAATGAATTTTAGCAGTAGTAGGAAACTAAATAATAAACATTTGATATTCAGCAACTGACCTCTCAGTGTTTTCTTGGGGGAGGGAAATGATTTATCTTAGCACATTTCCCCTTAGTCTTCCTTTTCTGGTGTGATTTACATATTTATTTATTTTTTGATTCTTTATTGTTTAAAGTATTACATATGTCTCCTTTTTCCCCAATTGGCCTCTCCCCGGCCATCCCCATCCCCCTAGTGTCTGTGTCCATTGGTTGTGCTTATATGCATACAAGTCCTTTGGTTGATCTCTTTACCTGCCCCCCCCCCCCACACACACACACATTCACACACCCTCCCCCACCATCCCTCTGAAGTTTGATGGTCTGTTCAATGATTTTTTGTCTCTGGATCTATTTTTGATTATCAATTTATGTTGTTCATTATATTCCACAAATAAGTGAGATCATGTGATATTTATCTTTCTCCAACTGGCTTATTTAACGCTTAGCATAATGCTCTCCATGTCCATCCATGCTGTTGTGAATGGTAAGAGTTCCTTCCTTTTTACAGCAGCGGAGTATCCCATAGTGTAGATGTCTTTTAATCCACTCATCTGCTGATGGACACTTAGGCTGTTTCCAAATCTTAGCTATGGTAAATTGTGCTGCTATGAACATAGGGGTACATATATCCTTTTTGATTGGTGTTTCTGATTTCTTGGGATATATTCCTACAAGTGGGATTATTGGGTCAAGTGGAAGTTACATTTTTAAATTTTTGAGGAAACTTCATACTGTTCTCCACAGTGGTTGCACCAGTCTGCATTCCCACCAGCAGTGCATGAGGGTTTCTTTTTCTCCACATCCTCACCAGCACTTGTTGTTTGTTGATTTGTTGATGATAGCCATTCTGACAGGTGTGAGATAACACCTCATTGTCGTTTTGATTTGTATCTCTCAGGTGATTAGTGACTTTGAGCATGTTTTCATATCTCTCTTGGCCTTCTGTATGTCCCCTTTTGAAAAGTGTCTATTTAAGTCCTTTCCCCTTCTTCTTGAAGATAGTTCTATTGTTTAGAATAGCCACTCTTTTCATTTTCTTTCTTTTTCTTCCTTCTTTCCTTTCTCTTTCTTTCTTTTTTTAATTTAAATTCTTTATTATTGAACGTATTACATAGGTCTCCTTTTTTACCCCATTGTCCTCTCCCTGGCCGCTCCCTCACCCCCGCCCCCGCCCAGCACATGCCCTCACCCCCCTACTGTCTGTGTCTATTGGTTATGCTTATATGCATGCATACAGTCCTTTGGTTGATCTCTTATCCTCCCCCCTCCTCTGAGGTTTGATGGTATGTTATATGTTTCTATGTCTCTGGATTTATTTTTGTTCATCAGCTTTTGTTGTTCATTATATTCCACAAATGAGTGAGATCATGTGACACTTATTCTTCTCTGACTGGCTTATTAAATCTTTTTGAAACAACCACAGGCTTATAAAAATGTTGGGCCGAAACCGGTTTGGCTCAGTGGATACAGCGTCGGCCTGCGGACTAAGAGGTCCCAGGTTCGATTCCGGTCAAGGGCATGTACCAGGGTTGCGGGCACATCCCCAGTAGGAGATGTGCAGGAGGCAGCTGATTGATGTTTCTCTCTCATCGATGTTTCTAACTCTCTATTTCTCTCCCTTCCTCTCTGTAAAAAATCAATAAAATGTATTAAAAAAAAAAGTTGGAAGTACAGCCAAACACTGTTCTTTTTATGAGGAAGTTTCTGACCTAATGCCCTATCATCTGTGAATAATAGTATCTATTTCCTATAAGCAAGCATACTTCCCTCCATAATCATAATCCATTAACACTGGAAAGTTCACATTGATACATTGTTACCAACTGATCCTCAAGCTGCATTCAAGTTTTTCCAGATGCTCCTATAATATATTTTATAGAAAAATATTCCATTTATAGCAGAATCTCCCCCTGCATTTAGTTTTCACATCTCTATCGTGTCCTTCACTGTGGACAATTCCTCTGTCTATACTTTCATGGCCTTGGCTCTTTTGAAGATTACAAACCATTCTTTTGTAGAATGTTCCTTGATTTGAGTCAGTTTGATGTTTCTTCATAATTAAAAAAACAACAACAGGTGATTGATTTTTGGCAAAAATAACAAATAAGAGATGCTACATTCTTTTAATGTTGATTTTGGTAACTTAGCTGAGGTGTTGTTTGTCGAGTTCTCCACTGTAAAGTACTCTTTCCTCTTTATGCAGCGGTACTTTGAAATTTTGTAACTCTTCTGTTTTTTTCATCAAAATTTCAATTTATTCATTTATACTTATATGGTTTCCTGATTTGGCCAATGGGTAGACATGTGTTACTATCATTATTTTACTTTTATGCATAAATTGTCCCATCTGTGGGAGACTGTTCAAACTAGTTCTTGAGTCCTTCTAACAAGTCCCCATCATTCTTTCAGCACTTCCTTGCTTTCTGGCAGAACTAGGCATTCCAGACGCAGCTCATGTTTTCGCTGTCCCAGAGCTGGAACCCACAGTTTCTCCAAGGAGGCCTGGTATCTTTGGAGTAAGCAATGATTTTAGCAGCCAAGATCTAGGCATTAGTTATGCTTATTACTATTGGGATTTCTGTGCTCTTAGGCTCCGCAGTGAATAGAACAGGGATCCACATACACACACACACACACACACACACACACACACACACACACATATAGATGTAAATGTGTGTGCATATATATCTTTATGGATATGTATACATATATATAATATGCATATTTACATATAGATGTATGCATATGTACACACATATACAAATATATGTATAAACACAATATATGTAAATATAGAGGCAAATATGTGTATATGTGCATATGTATGTGTATGTGTACATACACATTTACATCTATATTTATATCTGTAACTATCAATATATGTTGAAATCCATAGGTTCATACTCATGCCTTTAACTCCAATACAACCCTATAGGGCTCACCTTACATTTATTCCTTTCTATTATTTGTCCCTCTTATGACAGTGAGAAACCTGACTCTCATCATTTTTTTCCCCAAACCTCATTCGAGGACATGTTTTCATTGACTTTAGAAAGAGAGGAAGGGAGAGAGAAAGAGAGAGAAACATCAATGTGAGAGAGAGACATTGATTGATTGCCTCTTGTAGGCACCCTGATCGGAGATCAAACCTGCACCTTTTTTGGTTTGTGGTATGATGCTCCAACCAACTGAGCCACTCGGCCAGGGCTCATTATCCTTAAAATGTTTACTTATTTGCTCAATCCGCCAGTATGAAATCAATCTCCCATTTTGGTAGTACCCCCATCCCTATGTGGTAGCTTCCTGTCTCAGCATTGGCTCTGACTCCTCCATCCAGTGCACACACTCCAGGAAGTGGCTTGGCCTCTGCCTCTCCAGGCTTGGCTCTCCCACCCCATAGATGCCCTTCTCACCCTTTTTGGGCTCTAACACCTTAGGCTGGGTGGTCTTTCCATCCCTAGCTCAGGGCCACAGTGGCTCCTTTGGCCGGGGGTGGCTAACCTTATGGCCTGTGTTAAGTTCCAATTGTCTGTAGTGATTATTGATTTGATACTCTTTATTGGCAGCCATTCATTCCACGTGTCTCTTTCTTACTTCCCTATTGATGTTTCTTTCACTTCCCACATAAACTTCTTACTTCCCTCTTGGTGTTTCTTTAATTTCCCACATAACCCGCTAGTCTCAGCCTCTGTTCTGGGGAAACTCCAACTCAGACACCCTTTGTCCCTCCAGACCTAGAGGAAACAGTGGTTTTCTGCCCGTGCTTCATCTTCTCTTGTTTGTTCCTTGATTTCATCTGTATCTTTGGAAACCTTCCCTTCATTACCCTCTTAACCTTTAGGCTATTACTTATTTCTGTAGAGGCTCTGACTGAATCACACCCAGACACGGCCTGTTCCTCTGCTCCATTCCCCTTCTGAGACCCAGAGTCCTCCTAGGATCTGACCTCCTTCTTTAGGGGCATCAGCTTGAATTCAAAATGAGTGGAAATCCCCACCTTCTTATAGCTTTTTCTTTGTTAAATTTACATTCTTCATATTAGTTACATGGAAAGAAATGACTTTCAAACAGAAATAAGTTTTAACAGAAAACATATCTTTTCCCAGTCTTTTGAGAACATGCTAAAATGGGGATAGGTTTAATTTGTAAAGCACAGCAAAAGTTCATTAAAACACACACACACACACACACACACACACACACACACACACACACACACACACACCCTTTCCTCATTATCATTGCCTCCTACATGCCTGGAGACAGCTCTTTAACATTTCCTTCCTCCTTTCCTTCTCCTAAAGCAGCATGTCAAACTCAAAGGCTAACACAGGCCAAATAAACAAAGTTTAAGTTTATGTGGGCCGCAAAAAAACAAAAGCTTCAATGTTCATAGAAAGGTAGGTTTATTTTGACGGAGACATGCTGAATACAAAGGGCTGAAATAAATGAGTCATCGTTAACATAAAATAATAGAACATTTTAATAAAAATTAATATATTTTCTTGAACATTAACTTACCTGACACTGAATAACTGCACAAATTAATAAGCATAATGCGAATAAACCCATTTTTCTTGTTCTCTGAAAGCAAAATATTTCCTGTTGCACACACCAAACAAGTCAGTATAAGACTAATGACAAGTGGCAATTGGCTGCTAAAATATTCGCTGCTGGTATTAGTGGAGAGAAATGATGTGCCTGCGTGTAATGTGCATAAGGGAAATGAGTGCAACACGGTTATAGTAACCAGTCATCAGCGAATGTTGTAGTTCGTTATTAATAATTATGTATAACAGGATATGGTAAAAATGGAGTTATGAATTCTTTCTTGGCTGGGTACAGTGAACTTTATTGATGGTGCATGACAAAGTAGGGCTCCCTACACCCCTCCCCTTCTTCAGGGGGTCTGGGATGGGAACAGTGGTCAGGAGATTCTCAGTGTGGGGAAGAGGGGGTCGATCTGGGGCAAGGACTCCCCACAGCTGAGAGCCTCTCTTCCTCTCGCTGGGACTGGTGGTCCAGGGGACTCTTACTCCTAGGAGGCCTTGTGGACCATAAGGTTCACCACCCTGTTGCTGTAGC